GGTTGGTCTGGTTGATGGGTTAGTTTGGGTGGTGGTGTAGGGATTGGGGGGGGGGGGGGTACCTGAGAGGGTTTGTTGTCTGTGATATATTAGAAGGTAGAAGGGATTGTATTGTAGGACCTATACAGTTCGAGGTCGGGCTGTATGGATTGTTCACATCTATGGTCCAGACGCAAGTTGTCCAGAACAGTAGCGTTGATACAAAAGGCGGTGAGGGATCTGCCGGCATTTGCCATCTGTCCACAGGGTGGTGGATGCTTATTGGTTGTTACAGCCAGGCACCGTGTAGCGTCGAGTGAAACAATAGGTAGTCTAGTTCATAACAAGTGATATACTAGCTAAATTATAAATCAAACAGGCTGTCCCCCAAAGTGGCTCGGAATTTCAACAAAGCAGAATGTCGTCAAAATCATCAGTGAACATGCGACCTGCCCGGGTCTCAATTCTAATCAATCACAGCATACAATCATCGCCCGGACACGGAACTTAAGAGTCATATGCAGAACATCTGTATCAAAACACTTCCAGAATAAAACACAATACAGCACGGGTATGCGCCGCAACACCGCTCCATGGTTATTTGAGGTACAAAGTCGAGAGTTTTCGCGAGGGGAGGAGATTAGCGTCCGTAGCCGCTGACACTGGAGCCCATGCCCCATTCCGACGGCGGGGCGTATTCCGAGTTCGGTGCGTAGTGTTGCCCATGTGCACCGCCGTAGCTGGTGGCGGTGTTGACCGTGTTGTAATCATGAAGGACGCTTCCTCCGGCGTTGGAAGCCGTGGGGTCGTAGGCGCCGTGCATCGCGGTGCGTCCGTTCGGGTTTCCGAACTCATCTACCTCGCTCTGGTGCAGGAGGGCGTAGTCCTCATCGCGGTCGGAACGGACGGAAGAGCCCATTCCGCCAGCTCGTCCCGATCGGAAATCATCCTCTTCCTCGAAATCATGGGCGGGGTTCGACGAGAAGGCGGCCTGGCTCTGCGCCGCGAAAGTAGGGTCGGAGACAGCATCTGGCAGGGTTCCAGTCCGGCGGAAGTGCATCACGTTACGGAAGGACATAAAAGCGGTCAAAATGAATAGTAAACTATAGAAATCTTAGGTTAGCAATACCCCAAGCTTGTTCACCTCGGAATCTGAGACGTACAAGATGACAACCCCCATGATGCAAGTAGCCGTGCTGATATTGCATTTGCTGGCACTGCCGTACTTCCAGTTGTCGCATCCAGTCTTCTTCTCACTGTCCTTGTTCTTGTCCTCCTGCTTGCTGTCCTTGCCCTCGGATTTCCCCTGCGCGACATAGCTGGCAACGCAGACCCACGCAGTAAACCATAGCACGGCATACAGGCAGTCGACCGTCGCAAAGGCATAGACATTTCCGAAACGGCGTGCGCGCGGCCACATAGGCACTGCGACGAGATAGATAAGACCGGGGATGCTGAACCAGCACTACCGAAATGCCGTTAGTATGACGTGTCGTCAGCTCGCGCGGAACAGAGTTGATAAGCATACCAAAGCCCAGTACCAGGCTGATCGACCATCAATACCGTCACCTTTGGTGAACACGGCAATGGTACAAGCCCATGCTATGAAGATGATGAATCCTTGAACTCCATGGATGATGTTTTTCGTCCGCCCAGGATTGATCGAGGGTCGTGCTAGTCTCATGATCGCGGAATGTGAGGGGATACGAAGGGTGGTGCCTGACAAAGAAGAGGGCTTCCTTCACGAGGCAACCAGCTCAGAGATCGCTGACGGGATGATGCCTGTATAGTTTCTTTGAAACTGACAGGAGGCCGTAGAATGCAAGTTGGGATATCGTGGTTGGATAAAAAAAAAAAAGACAAAACGAAAAAAGTGACCAGGTCGTTACCAGCGTTAGAAAGTGGTGGAATGCAATTGTTTATGGACGGCTGTAAAAACGGACGACGGAGGCAATCAACGGGGCAACCCGATCGATGCCGCGCGGACGCTAAAATTTACGGATGGAGACTCGGAGGCTTTGCCAACACAGCCGATGTGGTAAAGTGGCTTGCAATCGTCCCAACTATAGAATGATCAAAAGTTCATACACAATCACAGCTTGATATCGAGCGAAGAGAGACAGAAGAATGAACGAGATGTCGCTCCATGCAAGGTACATCATCAATTTGGAAATACAGAGGAAGTCATGCTTTTACCGTACATCCATACGTGGGTGTATGGGAAACCGACCTTACCATTTCCAGTCTAGTGGCCCTAATGACCACAGAAATAGAAGCAGAGCTGCATTAAATTATGAACACTAATGAACCCAATCGCTTGTCAAAAAGAATATCTTTGTCATTAACTCTGAACTTGACGGTGGGCCTGCACTGGAAAAATACGTCACTGCTCTATATCCATCTTTACGGTGTAGTTGGGCACCATTGAGGGTACTAATGCTTTTTAATCGTCTGTTCATTTGTCTCGAGGCAACTATTAAGGAAGCCACCAAATTGAGCTCCGTGTGCTCCATGCACTCCGTATGGTTGGCGTCGAGTCCTCCGTCTTTCATTCTCATTGTGATGTCGTGGCAGTGCACAACAGTCCCGTCACAGCCACTGACAATATCCACCACGTACAAGGCAGCCATATAACCTAGCACTGGATATGTAATACATATGATTTGGGATCCCCAAGGCATATACTCCGTACAAAGTATATCATTGCCAATTTGAACTAGTGTGATTGTGATATAGGAGAAGTTTCCACCACCATACTTAACACCAATCAACTCTCTTATATCAAAATTATCCTTCTCTAGAGGCTACTGTGCTGTATCAGCGCTTGGAACTAGTTGAGCTCGACTGTATTATTATGTCAATCGGCCACAACACGAGGTGTAAACATTTCAATAGAATCACAGCCTTGTTTGTACATGATGAGCTAGCGTCGGGATTCGCGCCAGTCTAATGCAAGATGTGTTGATCAATCACATGAGGCCAGCACTGAGCTGAAACCTCTTCTCATAATTCTCCTTCGTCTGTACCGGTAGCACAATGCATGTCTACCGAGCATCAAACCAAAAATGCTAGGTAAACTGCGTGTAAAGCTTTGCTGTGGTTGCAAAGGAGAAACAAGTGATGATACCGAAGAAAACTTCCGCCCTGCCGATTTGTCCCAAAAGGGCAAGGATAGGGTTGCGTCCGTAGGTGGTCATTCTCGTGAGGCCGCCAAGAAAGTGAGTATCGACCGACCTGTCAAGGACACGAAGCATGTAAACGAGAAGTTAACCGAGAGAAATCGAAGACTCAAAACGCCGACCAACAAGACGAAGCCAAAAGCCTGGGAGAGTCTGAGAATGATGGGGTCGGCGCCGATGTGTCTCCCATTAGCAGGCAACATTCAAAGAGAAGCAGTTTAGAAAAGGACAGAAAATTAGATGACCTAAAAGTTGGACCAAGGTTTTTGGATGAACAGGAGAATGACCACAAACAAGTCGAAGCTGAGATCCCTAAATGCCCCATGTCTGAGACGACGCCTGCAGGTGACGACGCGGCAGATAGAAGCGATAGATCCGGTAATGCAGACCTTTGGCAGAGAGCCTTTGACCAACTGAATGAGGACTTAAAGAGACAGCTGCGTGAAGATGAAGCTAAGTCCCCGGAAAATGCCATCAAAGAGGTCATCGATAGCACGAAAGAAAGCTTTAAAGCATATCAAAATGGTGGACTGAAGTTCAAGAAGTACAACGGAGAAGAAGTCAATGTTCGCGAGGTAGCCAAAAGGATTCTCGATTCGGCCATTCACTGTTCAGAGATTATCAAAGGGATAGCAGCCTTTGACCCTACCAACCATGGTAATTAACCTTAAATGCATGTTAAAAGGACGCCTATTAACTAATATCCAGCTTCAAGCGTGTGGACAATCGTCTCGCTTGGATTGACGGTAAGAAGGGTTGTTTGATTTACCACTATATCAAGCTTACGTTGAATTAGATGACAAAGAACTCTGTGGATCAAAGAGAAGCTGCTTTCAAATCATCTGAATTCCTTGCTGATATCCTGGCCCGATACCTTATACTCGATGAGCATTGTCGCAACAAGGAGCTAGCAAGCTCTGATGGGCTTGATAATGCTATTGTGCAAGTATACAAAGCAGTTCTTGAGTACACAGCAGAGGTGAAAAAGCGACAGAAAGCAAGCGTTTTGAGTACGTGCCCGGAGTCACTTCCCCTGGTAGTCATTTATACTGATATGCGGTAGATCGTATAGGGAACAGTATCTTTCCAGTTTCCGACACAGAATTGAACCTTCTCCAGTCTGCCGTGAAGGATCAGGACAAGAAAGCCGGCGATTGGCGCGAAATCAATAATATTATCTGTGAGCTACGCAGCCAGGCCTCTTCCTTCCCATCACTAATGCTTCAAAGATCAAAGTAAGAAGGGGGACGAAATACTCGCCAGTATTGAAAAGGTCTATCAAAATACTGAGACAATCAAGGCCAAAGTCAATTGTATGATCCATCCTTACCTTCCCCAAGAATCTAGACTGATTATTTCAGTGGACGAACGAGATAGAGTCCTTAAGTGGTTGTCTGACATACAGTATTCCCATACTCAGAATGATCACCAAAGGGTTAGAACACACAAAACTGGTGATTGGCTTTTGAGTTCAGATGAATATAGAGAATGGAAGGCTACACCAGGCAAATTTCTGTGGCTATATGGACCTGGTAAGAACCAATTCATCGGTCTTAATAATAGTCTCTAACTGAATAAGCACAGCTGGCTGTGGAAAATCAATTCTTTGGTATGTAGCCCAATATAGTAAACACCAAAAACTAATTAATCAAGCTCTACCATCATTCAAGATATTGCAGAAGATCATAGCAACGGGATATCCTACTGGTACTTTCAATTCTCTCGGAACGAAACACAAAACGTGAAAAACATGACTAGAAGCATTATTCGACAACTGGCACCTGAAGAGCTTCCAAGATCACTTGTCAATCTATGGAAAGAACATGGCCCTCAAGGCCGTGAGCCAGACCAAGACAAGTTTGCAACAGTTCTCCATGATGTTATTAACAGTCATACGGGAGATCATTTGTTTCTTATATTTGACGCCCTCGACGAATGTCCTGATAATGAGGTTCATGAGAGGGATTTACTCTTTCAGGTTCTGAAGGGTCTCATTGACGAGTACGGGGAAAAGCTCCATCTTCTGGCAACAAGTCGATTTGAAGAAAATATTCGCTGCCACCTAGAGGAGAGTGTGAAAATAGACCTCGAAGACCGAATGAATGATGATGTCGAGGCTTTTGTCCGTAATGCGCTCGATCATGGAAAGCTGAGCAGATGGAAAAAAGAAAAGGGAGTCCATGATCAAATTTTGGCAAAGCTATTGGACACAAAGGAACCAAGGTATTGTCATGCACTCTGTTGCTCTCAGCAGAATATTTTGCTAATATCTTCCCTCTACCAGACGTTTCCGCTGGGCTGACCTACTAATCAAACGGCTCGAAAAATGCAAAAAAAGGGATCAGATCACGGAATCACTTGGAACGATTCCAAAAACCCTGGAAGAAACATACCAACAAATCCTTCAAGACATCCCTGAAGATGAAAAGGAGGACGCGCGCTCAATACTCACATGGCTCAGTTTCTCTCTTGTACCACTCAAGCTAGAGGCAGTTGCAGCAGTGGTAGGCTTTCCATATCCTGAGAGTGTTGTTGAGACTTGCACTACCTATTTGGTGACTTTTAGTCCATCAAATGGTACGATTAAACTCGCCCATTTTTCCGTGAAGGAATTCTTGGTTGTCTCAGATTCGAAGCATTGGTATCAGTTAACTACAATTGGTGGGCATATGGATATAGCCAATCGTGCCCTCGACGACCTGCTTGACCAAACCAAGCCTCTGACTGAAGAATCGGCACATGGTCTGCCGCTATTGGAATACGCAGCAGACTATTGGGGCAGACATTTCTCTGAGCTTACTGATTCTGATGCCAAATCACTGGAGCTGGAGGAGAAGATATACCGCCTGTTTGAAGGGCACATAGTCTTCTTGAACTGGCGGCGTGTGGCTCGGGATGATTTTGAGGTGAGTTCATGGGATACAGGCGGTTGGGTTGTTGAGCCGCCCATCTGGTTGGCCTGTAAGATGGGAATGCAGAGGGTTGTTGCACGACTCCTCTCACAGGGGGCTAATCCTTGTCCAGAACCACCTTACATAGGACAAAAGGACATATTTGTAATGACTGCTTCGCATGGTCATGCTGCTATCGTAAAGCAGTTGTTGGAGAACATCGAGATTTCAGCGAAAGTAGCTTCGAGTATTGTGAGGTCTATTAATCTCAATAAGGCCTCGGACGAAGAAGCTGACGCCTTTCTGAACATACTTCTGAGCGCTGAGGTCTTGTATCACAAGCATGCAAATGGATGTGTTCTTGTGAATGAAGATTTTGTTGCAGCCGCAGCAGGGAACTCTCAGTCAGGCCATCGGCTCATGCGCCTTCTTTTGGATAGGCAAGACAAGCTAGAGGTTCCTGTTACCGCGAGAGTTCTCCTAGCAGTGATACTGAACTCCAAATGCGGTGAAGAAACGATGCGAGTACTTTTGGACAGGAGACGAACAGACATTCGAATCACTGAACGCCTAATGCAGGAAGTCGCTTGCAGATGTTTTTTTAATTCTGGTATATCAACTCTGGTTCTTCATCTGGGCACGATGGCTCCTGTGAATCAATGGTTCGTCTCTAATTTCGTGACATATGCACCAGTGGAGGTACTAGAATTGCTTTTACAGATCGATGGTGATAAAGTTCAAATCACAGAGGAGTTATTAGTAGAAGCAGCAACTCGTCGGTGCCATGATACAGTTTTTCCCTGGCTATGGAAAAGAGTGCCTGGTATTAAATTTACCTCGGAAAGTTTGCAGCGTATCGCATCCGGGCGCCATGGCTTGGAGTGTATGGAATTAATACTAGGGGAATATTCTCAAGGCTATTTTCTGGCACAGGAAATACTCCAACAAGTGGCAGAGTCTGAACATGGTCTTCCCCTGATGCGAATGCTTTTGGACAGACGAGAGGCAGGAATAGTTGGTTTTGATGTTTCAGAAGCAACAATGATGGCAGCTGCTAATAATCGGAACTGCCCACAACAGATGATGGAACTGGTCATCAACGCGAATCCGGAAATTTTAATCAACGAGAAGATTGTACGCTCAGCAGTAATGTGGGGAGGGGCATCTGCCTTGGAGTATTTGCTTGAACTTGATAAAAATCTGCAGATCACAGAGGACTTATTGGTATTAGCAGCAGGCGCTTATGAACACGACAACAGGTTACTGGAATTAATTTTCAACAAATTTCCAGATGCTCCAGTGACAGACCGTGTCTTTGAGGAAGCTAGGGAGTACGGGTACCTTGCGGAGGTCTTGTCAGTCTGGTTGGAACGAGGTCGTCATGTACAAGATTGCCAAATGATAGGGAGGCTTCTGGAGCAAGGTGTTTTGAGCGTACAGGTCCTGATGAAACTGGTCAATGACGGACTAATTGAAATTGATGACAATCTGGTGGATGCAATAGGAATCCAGAATGCTCTGATTATGGCATTTTACGGGCGCCATGCGATGGAAAAGCTGTTGAATCTACGAGAAAATGATATCATTGTTACTGAAGAGGTTATATTGGAGGCTCTGGATGAATTCGGCATGGATGATGAAGTCTACGTGGATGATAAAGCCTTCAAAATGTTGACTGATCGGTTGGGATCCGCAGTACTCATTACAGAGAAGATTTTGGAAAAGGCTTTTCTGAACGGTCAATCTAAACTCTTGGATTTTTTGTTGCAGGAACGGGATTGGAATCTTCAAAAGGTTTGGGATGCGATTTGGCGAAACGATGGACTCGGAATCAAGTGTATTGTGAGAGGTGCGGAGAATCTTCTGAAATATCGAGAGTTCGATGTTTCACAGACCCTGCTGGAGTTCCTTCCACGAAAATGGTTCTCCAAAAATGAGGACTTTATTGAGTTGGCCAATTTATGTGCTGGACGAGACATATCAGCTCCTGCTATTGAAATGCTCTCCGTGGAATTATTTGAATGTTGCAATGGATGGGCTGTCATGGAACCTATCGATCAACTGGGTTCGACGGTACCAATGACACAGAAGGTTTGGGATGCGCTTTGGCGAGGACCTCGCGATTTTGCGCAAAAAGTGATAATTTCAAACATTCTTCTGCAAAATGGAGAATTTGATATTTCACAGATTCTACTAAAGTTCCTTCCACTTAAAGAAGAGCAAGAGGGCTTTCGTGCTAAGGAACTGGATGAGTTGGTCAATCTGTGTATTGGGCAAGACATATCAGCTCCTGCTACCAAAATCCTCACAGAGATACTATTTGAACACGGTTTGGCCCATTCCATCAAAAGATTCATCCACCACAAACCCACCTTCCAACTCACGGATGGCCTTATTCAGCGTGCAGAAAGGAATACACGGGCATACAAGAAGGTTTTGATGCCTTTCCTCTACTCCAAACGAGCTGCGGATCAGAATATCAAGGCTGCTGAAACCAAGGCAGGAAAAGAAGAAGCCTAGTTCACTTTATTCTGAACTTTTGATCATACCAAGTCTGTCTACCTAGTTGAATGTTATTCAATTCAAGCATGGCTATTTTGAATGAGACTTTTATAGCACCCGCCCAGAACCCGCTGATTTTCGGGTACAGGTATAAAAGACAGAGCCTAGACTCAAGATGCGGCCATCTACATTGTAGACAAAGTCCTTGCATTACTTAGTTAGTGCTTGATTTCACGGCAATGATTGTTGCACTCCGGATGAGAGCTAATGCTATACATTGGACTAGAAAGTGGTTTGATACCTTCCAGCTAGCCTAAGTACATTTCTTCAACAATAATTTCACGCTGTCTCACAAAGACTTGATTTCGAGAAGTACTACCTGCTGGTACTTAGCCGCCCATTGTTATATTAAACAGAGCCAGTTCGAGCAGGCTCTTTCAGTATTAGACAATTGTGACCCTGCCCACCTTATTCGTAGTATTAACAGCCACCGAAAGCTACAATATATGGAACTAATGGTATGATACTAATATTATTCACCCAAACAAGGAAAATACAATTTCTCTACCTCTCCAAATCAATTCTTTCATTTACAGAATATAGGTATTACAATTGGCATTTCTGTAGTCGCTACTGCAATGTACGAGCCAGCCTTTGATGGCTCTGCGAGAAAGTATGGTTAAAAACAGCACTGCAAGTACTGACACCTAGTGCCAATGCAAAAGATGCCATCAGTCCTGCAAGCCTCCCCCACTTCATGCCTAGCCCTAAGCACTTCAGAGTCTGGAGACACTCGTTCTGCGTCTCATAACCCGTCCCACCACCAAGGTCTCTACCTCACATTATGCCCACCCCCACAATTGCCCCGAGAGGCTCAAAAGTCGGATAGGATCACCTGTACTACAGCTCGGAATGACGTTTTCATGTTATCCTCTTGCCAACTATTCAAAGTTCATGCGATCAGGACGAAACCAGAAACCCTTGTCAAACTCATTGCCTTAATTACCTACTTCTCTTGATGCTGCTGGCATCATGTCACTTCAAAATGCAGTTGGAAGCTCACCGACCAAAAGGAGATGCGAGACTGAAGCTGCGAAAGGTATGTTGGACATGCCGAACAGAGATATCAGATCTGCAAATGGCGAGCAACAGTCACACCCGCTCCCTATCGCGATTTGCAGAATGGGGATGAGGAAGGGGGGGGTATCGACAATCCGTCAAAATTACATGATTTATTCAACTTTTTTTGGGGTGTTTGGCTAACATGTTCACAATCAAACCAAACCTAGGCCACTTGGAAGGCGCGTCTGCATTTACCAGTATCATGAAGGCGGTTGTAGAACTAAAAGTCTTTCAGATTAGATAGATTTTTCCTAAGTTAGGACAGATTCTAACTCTCAAACCGGAACCCCAGATCGGGTTTAGATTTAGACCCTGTCCCCGACGCGGAGGCGGGTTGCATGTAGATTGCTAAATGGTGTACTGATAAGCCAGGAACTCATCCAAATCAAATAAATAAATTCCATTTTTCGTATTATATCATCAGTTCGTTAAGGTGTTCGTTCATTTTATGTGTTCATGACAACGTGCAATAATGATAATAATTCTTGAAGACACCATCCGGCGCTCTCTATAATACCCTCCGAGGTCATTATGCCAATACCCCAAAGATCTCCAGATAGGGAAGGGTGAATAATACGACAAACATTTGAAAAGAAAAGAGAAGAAAAGCTAAAAGAAAGAAACAAAGGTGTGGGAACGAGGGAAAGTACCCAAGTGGGTACGCCTACAGTCTCTTGACATCTTTCCTACTCAATACCAATTCCAACTCCTTCAGCGGTTGATAGATATGTGCATTCCACCACCATGGCAGCGGATCAAGGACTGAGAAACGAGGGTCCTTCCAGAATAGTAAGAGGTCGCCTGCCTGGCCGACGAGATGGTCCAATTGTTGGGCAACCGGATAAAGAGAGGGGAGCACTCTCCGGACATCGCATTGCTTAAGCGTCTCATAGAAGCTGAACTGGCGTTGTGAGATCGTCGATATACTTGCTCTAGCTTGTATCCGTTTTCTGGCTAGGTCCGTGGACGTATCGTCGGGTTGTGATGAGAGAACCGCCAAGTATCCATCGATTAACGAAGGTGACGGTTCTTGCAGAAGACGCTTCACAGAATTCGTCCCTTGAGTGCAGCCAGCAATATGCGTTACATAGCGCACATTGTTAGCGTCGAATTCTTCATCGACCAGTAACTGCAGGCATAGATGGCCAGTCATCCGATGGCCTCCTTTCAATGCGAAACGGTCCATAAGTCGGTGAATTGCCCATGCAAGTCCTTCATCCAGCCGGGAATGGCCCCAGGGTTGGTTGTCGGCTGGCCGAATTTTAATGGCCTTAACCTGTCCTCCAACAAGCAGCAATTCAGCGAAAAATTCCCCCAGCCGAGCCTGTTGCTGCAAAACCCATGGCCGATCTTTTGAGATTTGGATCTCGCTGACTTCCGAATAAGTCATGCTGAGGGTCCTCTTCGGTAAAACGACGACTTTCTTGTCGTTCACGGCAACATCTGACCGGCGCATATGGTAGACCTTGCTCGGCGACCGATGCAAGATCTTGTGTACCGAGTCACGCGACTGCACTTGGTAGTTTTCTACCACGGGTAACTCCTTTTCGACGAGATACTGCGTGAAAGATTCTGTGTCGCTAAAGCGATTGGCCAGTTCCGTGTCCAGGTGGATACATCTACACGCAGTTCGACTTTCAATTACCTGCTTGGCCATTGCGTCTTCCAGAACGCTTGCCCGTGACGAACAAGGAATCCAGATGTCGGCTTTCTCCCTCTGGATGATGTCGAGCAGGCGGGACACATAGTGCGACCTCGGGATGCGATAGAACGTCGCTAGCGTTTTCGACATGCCTTCGCCCGATGCGAACGGGAACTCTGTGATGTCGGCGCCCACGACCCGATGGCCGTGATAGTACAGACATCGCGCCAAGGCTAGCCCGTAAGGGGTGTCAATGCCGGAGATGAGGATGGTTTTTGGGTAGAATTGGACATCACGTCGCGCAGCCTGGCGGCGATGAACTGGATTAGAATGCGAGAGGAAAACAGAAAAATGACCGAGAAGGCACGTGGCAAACAGGATGGTGTTATCCAGTGGCAGAAGGATGATTGAGATGGCGATTCGCAGTAGCAGGGCGAGAATCTGGATTTGGAATAGCCCTCGCACGGACTGGAGCGTTCTTTGTTTCGGAATCGAGCCAAAGGCTCGTCTCACTGTGGGGATGGACATGAGGTTGAATTCTTGATCTCTATCAGCATCGAGTTGTAAAGAAATCAATCGGTGGTGGGCATATTCTTAGATGTTCATGTTCATCGACGGCCCCTCCGGAATGCTGCCAGGCGACCACGTCAGCGTGCATTTCGCCGGATGCGTGTCGCGGCCGAAAAGGCCGTATTTAGTTGTCAATCCAGGTGGCTGGGCTGAAAACCTGAATCTTTTCTTTTTTGTCGTCCACCAAGAATCACATGTTAACTCACTGTCATTGGGTCCCACATTGGGACAAAACTTTATCCACAATCAGCTTTGGAGTTCGCATCAACGAGTCATTCATGTAGCCCTACTCGAGTGTACATACTCTCACAATGCAATACAATTCACCTCACTAATGTTCTACATATAGTAGTACAACAGTCATTAAATATACAGCTACTCGTAGAATTTTGCAAAAAGACACAAAAAAGACACAAAAAAGGACAAAAAGATAAATAAAGAAAGAGAAACAAAAAGAACGGAGAAAAACTCCAGTGATCTGCATTCAGCTCTCATCCCACGAACCAATGCGCCTGAGGAAGATCGGCGATCCCCACTAGTTGTTCAGCACAGACACTTTTCCCCCCTTCCGAGTGGCCTATCTGACAAGGTAATTAATAAGGGATTCGGACATTTCTAACGTAGTACTCTGTACATGAATGGGGATATGGTGACCATGGCTAGATCGATGATCCCGAGTCTGATCTGCTAAGATCTGCAAATGGACTGGGCTTCTTCTAGTGTAACTGTGTAATTCTGATTGACACAAGGTCTTCTTTTGGTATAATATTGTCAACGGTGAATAGTATCCCAATACCGTTGCTCTTCAATCTACACCCAACAGTTGAAGTATCAAGTCTGGAGATTCCCGGAACCTGGATGACACAAGTCTATGCCTTAATAGTGTTTTTGCGGGGCATTCATCTCTCGGGTAAGAAAAGGAGACGGAAACGACCATTGTTTGACAGAAATCTGTGAGAAACTTTTGTTCGAATCCCATTGAAGAATATTCAGTTCCTATCATGTGAGCGCATGGAGGCCTCTTTCAGATAACCCCGTGAACAATTTTATATATAGATTAAGTAACGATGATTAAGAATCATCGTTATACAGTAAACAATACTTCCAAGGACCTATACAAGTCTCCGATTTAGCATGGACTGGGTATCTTCCTTAGATAAATCATAAGTGGACTACTAATATTAACTACCTCATATATTTCTCTTGCTTTTATAGATAGCCTTTTCTATATCTATATCTCCTGTGATTAGTCTTTTGTTAATCACTGGTTCGAGAAAGAGCAGTTCTTTCTAAGTCAGTTTATATAATTCTATAAGATTCTGGTCGGGAATGCTATTGTATCCATCTGGATAAGAGAATGCCCTACCAGAGGTGGTCTGGAATAGTACTAAAGGCAGGAAGGGATGTGCCCTGAGAGTACTAATATTGGGCCCTACGGGCTTGGCACTCATTACTACCCGTCCGACCCTGCAAAACATAGTTACCCCGGTGAATGCCCCACCGTTCACAGCTTTGGGTGTTGGATCTTCTGGGTGACTTTGAGTTCCCTCATCCTATGCGGTGTGTGCTGGTCATTTAGCTCAGAGAACATCAACGAGTGATATCATCGGCAAATGAACCGTCCTGGCCTGTCTGTGGTTGTTTGTAGGCAAATAACACTCTTACTTGACCCTAAAATTCTCAGGGGTTCCTTACACCGTCAACACGCGGTTCTCCGTCGACCTTGTGTTAGTCAATGCCACTTCTAATCCATTTACGTGGCTCGTCATACGAGACCATATCAGCAAGCCTATATTATCTACAGCCATAATGCTGCATAGTACTCGCCGGACCTTAATCTGATTAAAGGGATTCTTGCTGAACTTAAATGGCTTCATTTAAACGTAATACTTCAATACAAAAGTTAACTGCTCATCGACCTCCACCAGTATAGTAGTCAAGTCGTGTAAGTGTCTGGCGATTACCGGTTCGACTTCTCCAACGCGTTCTGCTGGGCTGCTATTTCAGCCCTAGCTCCGGCAAGGTCTTCCAGCACATTGTCCACTGTGTCGACGTCAGAGATCTGGGAGGCATCGGCGGTCTTGTTGATGGCGATCGAGTTCAGTTTGTCGATAATAGCGGCGCTGTCGAGAGCGACTATCACAGACTTCGACTGTCCTTCGTCCTCTCCAACTTGGGATGCGGAAGATGTCTCTCCGCTACCGTTGAATAGCTTCTTACCGTTATATTCCGCGGTATCTAACTCCGAATGGATGTCGGAAACCAGTTCATCAATCTCGAGCTGAGCTTTGTCTTTGTCAGATTGGGTCATGGTGTCGTTTGCCGCCTGACCGACGAGTTGACGGATACGTTGAGTCTTCGAGGTGATGTTTTCCAAGGTGCCTTCAACTGTCTGCATCAGGTTTTGGGTGTTCCCCGCATTCATCGCCGCCTGTTCGAGGCTATTTATCTGCGATGTCACCTTCTGAGTTATCGCAAGCCCCGCTGCATCATCCGCCGCCCGGTTTATCCTATACCCCGACGATAATCGCTCCGATGATTGTTTCTGTTGGCTAGTGACTTTTCCCAAATTGCGGTGCGCGTTCAACGCGCTAAGGTTTGTCCTTACTACATTAGACATTTTGAAAAATGGAGTATTCGTAGATGGGTAGTCGAAGAGATCAGAAAATTCAAGAAACTAGTTCAGATTCGTCGTCGATATAGAAAATTGTAGTTCTCCGGATTATAGCAACGGTTGCGTTTGACACAGCTCAATGAAAGGTTCAAGTAGGGAAAAGTTCAGGAGAAGCGAGCAGAAGACCGAAAAGAGCAAGAAGAAAAGAGATGGAATCCGGCCAAAGATGAAAGGAGAGGGGAGGAAGCTGTAGATATAGTAGAGGTCTCAAGTAGGCGGCACGAGATGTGGCGAGCTGAAATTATGAACGACGTTACAGCGGTCTGCCGCTTGGTTTCATCGCGCTTTGATGATCAATAGCGGTGTGTACGATACAGCTTCAGGATATACAATGTAGAATAAAGCAAGAAAGCCCTCAGAACTTATTGATAGGTCAGTGTGCGATTTCCTTCATAAAAAGCCAACAAAACCAAGAGACATCTTCCAATCAAATTGATGTACAGAGTACTAATTAATGTAGGATTGCTAAGATCGGCCGCTTTCGTCTTCGTTTTCTCGACGCAAGGGGCCTAGTGTGTGAATACTCGATAGCACATTTCCGGCTACGTACACTAGAAGACTGTATGGAAGTTTGCCTAGGAACGGGCGTATTTTATTTTAGCTACTCGACATCGCCCGTACGGACCTCCACTCTCACCTCAATTTAGTTGTGGTAGCGTGCATATCCAGCCTTCGGCGTGGGGTTAGGGTAAATGAAGTAAAACTACCTAACAACCTACTACATCAGTACCTTAACTATGCAAAGGAAGTCTCTCAGATGCCCCCACATCTGCTCAAACAAGGCTGTCATTGTGATCGTCATCTTTTGCTTATTCGAGAGCCTCGTCAAGGGCAAGAACAGGTTCATGAAATCTGGGGGAATCCGTATATAGCCGCAGGAACAGTCCTAGAGGGTAAAAGGGACAGGGAGAAGAAGGGTGAGGGGTGAAGAAGTGGTGGAAGTGGTGTGAAGGTCAGAGAAGCGGTTTAAACCACGTGCATACTGTAATGCATGCGGTTTATACTGCACTGTATCTATCTGATTTCGACTTCTACTCTATGGCTTGATCACCTGTTTCATTTAGGAGCATGACCGATGGCCCTGTTGAACTCTATGGTCCATTCCTTGCCGCATTGCATCTTCGTACATTGCCCCTATGATCCCATTGGCTTCTTATCTATCCAAGTAACGTTTCTTGGTCGTTTTGAACTACATTCTAAGCTTCCCGGTCAAGCGTCAAACCAGACCGCCTACCGAGCGTCGTATTTGTAGGTTACCCGTGATTCAGTGCTATTCTGGACTTGGCACTTGATGGATAGTGGAGCATAAGGTCAGCCAACAGCCAAGATGGCATGGAATAAGCAAGGGCAAGAAAAACCATTGCATCACAAGATGACCGAGCATCTTCTTCAACACTGAAACAGATCGCCAGAGCCACAGTCTATCTTCATGGATAAATGCTTCTTCACATCGTACGGAGAAGATCCAGCAGATGTGCTTCGATTCCAGTGTAATTTTATGTAGCGGGGTAATGTAAGATACAGTACAAAGCGCGTTTTATTGTGCCCCTCAATTAAACATAGCCAGTTTAATAAGTGATCTGCGCTCACGACTTGGGCAGTAGGTTTAGGAAAGAGACTCTCAGTATATACTGGTCGAGGGCGTCAAAAATTATAAATAAATGATCTACCTTATAACTGTTAAAGAATTAATTTTCTACAGCCAGCTATATTTATTCCGTTGAAGGTATTATCAGGACTAATAGAAGAGGGCTTACCAGGTCCATATAACCACAGAAACTTACCTAATGTAGCCTTCCCTTCTCTATATTCATCTAAACTCAAAAGCCAATTACCAGTTTTATTTTGAACAATGGTGAACTTTCTTCCGAGGCCCACCATTGCTAGAAGCATATCAACCTTACCCTGTTTCCGCAAACCGTGGTTCTGTTACAAACAGCCTGCCATATCTGTTTCCCGCCATCACTTATGCACGAGTCCACATGCTCTCCACGAGGAATTCTTTCGAAATACCTCACGACGATGGATGTATGTTAACGCTATTACGGTTTTGGTCTTAGTTACTGATTGTTAGCCAGATTCAACGAGACCGACCGTTTAAGCGAACGGTATGTCAAGTTTCGACCAAGTGAGCTTCAACGAATCGCCGGCAAAGCAATGCAACAAGATGATTATCCTGATATCGCTAAGCTGGCAGAGGGAGGTTTTAACAAAATATTTATTCTGCGAGCAAAGAATGGACGTGAAGTGATTGCGCGAATTCCCACTCCCATTGCAGGGCCTGCTCATTACACAACCGCGAGTGAAGTTGCGACAATGGACTTTCTGCGAACCGTTCTCAAGCTGCCAGTACCTGAGGTCTTTACATATTCAAAAACCTCCGACAATCCCGTGGGAGCAGAGTATATTTTGATGGAGCGGGTTGAGGGGGAGAGTCTTTCTTCGCGGTGGCTATCTCTCACAACCGATGAGGTGAAAGACATCATGACTCAAATCGCAGATATGGAGAGGAAAATTTTTGACTTCCGTTTTCCTGCGTACGGAAGCTTATATCACAAGAAGGACCTTGACGGAGAAACCCAAATACCAATTGTGGGAGATTTTGTTGTTGGCCCTGTGTCTACCCGGCAGTTTTGGCATGGCGAACGAAGCAAAACAGAAATCGACCGTGGGCCCTGTAAGTTCTCCCTCTTCCCCAAATAACCGACATGGCCTGGGTTGATTATTCCCGTAGGCTTTCGCCCGTGGACTGTGTTACCTCCGCGGCTCGCCGAGAGATGGATGTCATTCAGCAATACGCAAAAGCTCAGCCTCGGCAAACATTCCTTCTGCCAACTGACTATAACATCGAGCCTTCTGAGCACAGCTCGTTACTTTCGCGATTCCTACAGTTGGCGCCTTATTTAATCCCACCGGGTTCTTACAGCGCTCCAACACTAAGACATCCCGATTTAAGCCTGAGTAATATTTTATTAGCCCCAGGATCGTCCAAAATCATCAGTATTATTGATTGGCAGGATGCCGCGATATTCCCACGCTTCATGCAAACAGGTTATCCCGCGTTTTGTGAGCACGACTTCTCTCAGCCTCAAAGTCTGCATATTCCATCTCTCCCCGATGACTTCGATAAGATGGATATCGACGAACAGAGACAATCCAAAGCCGCATTCCGCTTAGAAGAGGCCAATGTCTACTATACAGCCGCGACAGGTATACATAACGATGAGCACATGCGTGTGTTGAAAACTCCTTATCTCGGAATGCAGCAGTATCTCCTTCGCCAAACAGGGTACCCCTGGGATGCAGACGTAATCAACCTACGTACTGCGTTAGTAGGCATCACAACTCCCTCGGTATGGAGTAAAATTTCCTCCGCAGTTTGTCCGGTTGTGTTCAGCGATGAAGAACGAGAGGCTGCTTTAGCAGAATCACAAGAGTGGAACGAGTCTGAACAGCTCCTGTCGCGGGTTCGAGAACACCTCAATATCGACCCGGAAGGTGGGACCGAGCCGGATAACTTTGAGAGGGCAGTGGAGGGCAATCGCCAGTTTCGAATGGAGATGGTTAGGCAAGCAGAGGCGGGCCAACGGGAGATCTGTTGGCGCAATTGGCCTTATAAGGATAAAGAAGACAGGAGCATGCCTCCTGATACATAATTAAAGTTATTGTAAGAATAGTGAGGCAAAATAATAATTAAACTTTTTTGTATATTAAACTTAAGTATATACACTATTTAAACCACCAAATTCAGAGATGTGATTTAGCTGAGGATGCCGCTGTCGCGGCCCAGAGTCCTTGTCTAGTAGTATATACAATAGCGCAGCTAGCGCAAGCATTTTCCTTTGAACCTTGTACAATACCCCCCGGGCTTTTCGTCAACCTGAATAGTTGGTTGTTCATAGACTTATATCCCCCGACACCCATTTCATGACTGTCGCAAAAATCACATCGCCATCATGAGGCGCATCAATAGGCTTCATGTCCGTTTCAACTTCAGGTCGAACAGAAGCAGGCGGACTATCTGGATCCATAAGCAATTGGGAGAGGGTAGCATCCAGCTCCGGATGACCCTGAAGAGTGAGGACTTGGTTATCATCCGACAAGAGGATTTCATTGTTGGGCGCCAAGCAAGAAAGACGAGGGCCTATGTCGACCACAGCAAGTTTGTGGTGTTTATGTATGTCCTACGGAAGTTAGCTCTGCATTTCTGGATTTGTGTAGGGCACAAACCAGTGATTTCGTATTGAAGAATCTGGCACCATCAGGTGTCAACCGAATGGTCTCAACGCCCATCTAACATATTGATTAGCTTTAGTCATTCTTTGTGTATATACAGCAGGGCTCCTACACAAAGCCCGTTCTTTAATTCTCCCATAGAGCCCCCAAGCGCTAACGCAATTGCTTGCTGGCCCCAGCAGATACCGAGAAGCTTTGGCGTCGCCCGATCTGTGGTGGCGGCTTTGATGAATTCCAAGGTTTCAGTTACCCAGGATGGTTTCTCATCTTCTAGAAGATTAAATGGGCCTCCGGTGAGAACTATTAAATCATAATTGTCTAGGTCAGGGAATGGGTCGCCCTGGATCGGTGCGTAGACGTTGATTGCGACGTTGGGTTTCGAGTTGTGGATAAGCTTTGAGATATTCTCAAGCATAAGTTCACCACCTTCTGCTGAAATTGGGTAATTCTGGAGAATGGCGACACGGAAGTGAGTGCGAGTCATGATTCTAGGGAAAGCTGGAGAGTCTAGGGTGGTAGAAGATCAGGGTGAAGAGGAAGAGATTGGCTGCGAATTTAAGTGAAATCGCGTGGTCCCACGGCATTAAATTAACAAATAGTGAGCTAGCCCCCCGCGAGGGCAATGCCTAAGGGCCCCAACCGAGCGGGCGGCTGCAACCGAGGCAGCCGAGACTCGACTCTGGAACCAACACCACATCAACCATCACTAATCGACGAATGAGACACAAATATTTGCACCAGAAGATTCAGAATAGACATGCGGAGACTGCTACCTAAGACTACGAGAGGATATTCGCGAACTACGCGGCGAAATATATTAAGGAGAGAAGAAATGCAAGGGAAACATCAATTATTACAAGTACACAATTGGTCAGTATACAGGGGGAGCTGAAGTTAACCAGACACTAACAAGGGCAGTCTACTGGTTGTCGCAGCGATCTATGTGTCTGCCACACCCAATAAATGCATAGACAGCACGCAAATGACCCAGCACTCGCAATACTCTCCACTTTCCTATATAACCATTTCAAGAAGAATGAAGACAGTGAAGGAAATCAACGAATGAATCACACAAGATACTCGCAGACCGTTTCTTCACTTGCCAGGCTTCCGATCACGTCACTGAAGTACCCTACTACATAATCTGCAGACTCTGCATCCAATACTTGATTAGATATTGTCATGGTGATTGTCAATGTGGACCCATGAGGGACAACAAGCACATTGGCCGTGGCAGATGGTCGATTCGGAAGACTATAGAGACCCGTTTCGCAGGTATGTCCATCAAAGGAACAGGTCGAGTCGTCATTATTGGTGAAGTTTTGGAATCTCACAAAGCTGCCAAACTTTGTTCCAGACTCCCAAGATGTGCAATTATGGACAATTTCTTCAAGCCCAAGATTCTCAACAGGCATGGTTTGAATGTGCTGTTGTTGAACCTGACCAAGAAGCTCAAATTTATTTGATTTCAGAGGAAAGTGAACTCGCACAGGGATGATGTTGAGGCATGGACCAACAATGCGGTCTTCATGGGTAAGTCCCAGTCCTCGGCCATGTACGACCTGGCCAAAAACAACATCGTTCAGGCCATATTTGCATCCATCCTCTTCTTCAGTTGAGGTAAATAACCGGGAGAGTGTGATTGCCCACGCCAGTTTGACCAATGTTGCCATGGTGGTATTGGACGGAGGGGAGATTGGGACAGTCTCTGCTATTGCCGTCACCACTCTTGGCTGTTCCGAATGTGCGCCCATTTGTGGGTTCTCCTTTTCGCCCAGTCGGATCCAATTGTTCAAAAACTTGTTGTTCAGACTGGTCATTGGGGCCTCTCCCAGTACTTCTTTCCATATGTTGTAGGTTTCAGGGGTCTTATTCTCCAAGACATGTCGAACGTGGTTCGAAAACTGAGCACAAGGTGGAAGTGGTTTTCCGCCGTATGCAGAACTGAGGTCACTGCAAATGATGTCCAATGAAAGTCCATCAAATAGTGCATGGGGTAATCGCAGAACTAGAAATTTCCCTGCGTCCCTCAAGGTCAGGAGCTGTACCTGAAATCCTGGCTCGCCATTTATAGGTACTTCCATGGCAAGAGAATCATCTGCGCAATGCTCGTCCAAATCTTCGATGTTCTCATAACGAATGAAGCTGACGTGGACTTTGCGCAAGGTCAGTTGTACGACCGACTTTTCATCCTTTGTGTAAAACACAGTGCGCAAGATGGAGTGCTTTTGAACAAGCTGATTGCATGCATTTAGTAGTTGGTCCTGATCAACCTCACCAGGCAGTGAGATCCATAGATATCGGCTGTAGAAGTTACGAAGCGTCATCGCTTGGAATTCGGTGGCGGGCAGGGCTTCCTCAATATTATCGGCAACCTCCTGCGGCAAACGACGAAGGAGTTTCTCATAAGCAAGGTCACGATGATGTGATTGATTCATGGATGGTCCAGATAGTTTACTTCTAGAGATCTTGTTGGTGTCTTCATCATCTCTAGTGCACTTTGAAGCTATTCTTGAAAGAATTTGTTCCGTGAAAATATCCGCAACGGGGAGGAGTATCCCTCTCCGTCTTGCAAGCATGGAGACTTGCATAGCTGAGATTGAATCTCCACCCAGGCCAAAAAAGTTACTACTCATGGGTATTGATTGAATATCCAGATTGAGCGTTTGGCCAATGATTTCTTGAATTTCCCGGCCAAGCGCCGTGATAGGAACTTCTTCGGCGAGAGAAGTCCTGTTTCTCAGTTGGTATTGTTCTAGACTCTTCAGTGGCCAACTTGTGGATTGATTTCGGAGTAGACGCCGATTCACCTTCCCTGACAAAGTGAGGGGAACATCAGCAAGCGGTATAAAGAAGGATGGAACCATGTATGCCGGAAGTAGCTCTCTTAGAGATGTTTCCAAGGATTGGATGGTCGAGTAAAACTGGTCGCTTGGTGGCCCAACCAATTCCACACCAGATTCAGCGTTCAAGGATTTCCCCCATTCTCCATGGGCTTGTGGACAAATAAATGCAGCCAGTGAGACGCGGTTGTTTTGTTCCGGAATTTTGATACACTCAACCGCAGCGGTTCTGATGGCTGTGCATGAGGAGATTATGCAATGTTCGACTTCTCCCACTTCAAGTCTCTGACCGTGCAGCTTTACCTGATCATCTTTCCTTCCGACAAATAGAAGTGAGCCATCTGAAGTCTGTCTGACGAGGTCTCCTGTTTTATACAGTCTTCCGGAGTAGGAACGGACGTCAGTAAGCCAAGGCGGACTGGTGATGAAGTCTTTGTTTGTTTTCTCTGGGTCGTTGAGATACCCAGACGAGACGACGGGGCCTTCGACGATCAACTCACCGACTGTGCCGATAGGGACCAGCCGATTGTGGTCGGATGGATCAGCTACCCAAGACACTGCTCCAGGGCTTCGGCCAATGCTGGAGTGATGCGTTTCGGGCAAGATTCGCCCGATATGAGAGATAACGGTACATTCTGCCGGTGCATACATCCCGAAGAGATTCACCCTGTGAGCCCACACGTTCACGATGTGTGGAGTAAGAGGCTCACCGGCCGACCCCAGGACTTCTAAAGTGGGGACATCCAATGGGTCGAACAGATTAATCACAGAGGGAGTCAGAAGTGCCCAGGTTACTTGCAGGTCACTTGCTGCTTTTGCGGGATTTCCCCTTCTTTCCTCCTCATAAGGTACACAGACACATGCTCCGGTGGCAAGGGTGAAGAGGATCTCGCCAATGCTGATGTCGAACGCGAAGGAGGCGAAATGAAAGACGCGACTGGTAGGGGAAAGCATTCCGTGGTCGCGCATGACAGCTGCGCTTGTGACAAGAGCACTATGGTGAAGCACGATGCCTTTAGGTAGCCCGGTAGAGCCTGAGCTGAAGACAACGCATGCAGGGGCATCTGGGGTGACGACTGCATCCGGTAGCTTGGACGCCGAGGCTATATTTTGCTTACCCAGATTCTGTACATGAACCTTTGGGTCAAAGTTGATGACTGGAAGCAGAAGGTCGTCACTCATATGGGTGTGCTCCTTGGAGGAAACCACAATTCTGGCATCAAGCATAGAACACATCGTTCGCATCCGCTGAATAGGGTGTGAAAGGTCCAGTAGCACAAAAGCAGCGCCAGTCTTCAGAACTGCTAGCATGATAACTGGAACCCAGGGTGACCTCTCTAATAAGAGGGGTACAAAGTCTCCCTGCTTGATCCCTGTGCTTATCAAATGCTGCGCAAAGTGATCGGAGAAATTCTCTAGCTGCGCATATGTGAGGTCCAAGTCGTTGGAGTGAACAGCCAGTGCCTCAGGTTGGGCAATACATAATTGCCGAATGCGATCATGGATGCAAGTGTTCTCAGCTTTCGGGAGAAAATGATTCCATTCTCTCAACAAAGCCATATCCTCCGGAGGTACCATGCTAACATCTGTGATGCGCATTGAGTCGGAAGTCATAAGCTGCTGGATAACATGCGACATCTGTCTAAGAATACTATGTCCGGCGGCGGGTGCTAGAATAGCAGGATCAAATATTACTTTCATGCTTATTCCACTCTTTTCTGGACGGCATATCAACACAAGCGGATAACTAGAAAAGGCCTTCGCGTTTTCAGAAGAAGATGCTGAGTTGGCTGACGTTTTGAACATAACAGATGCGGTTTTCTGCTCATATGGCTGCACGACGAGTAGATTCTGGAAGTTACATGCCTCAGCAGGCTCTCTCCCAGCCTGTCGAATACGCGACAATCCAGTTTGTTCATACACCATCATGTTAGCGAATTGGTTTTGAACCTGCGACAAGCCCTCGTGAACAGGCTGATTCGTTGGCAGTTTGATGCGCACAGGTAGTGTCGCCAAGGTTGGTCCACTAATTTGATCGATTCCATCAATGCTCACGTTACGACCACTGACAGTGGCTCCAAACAGCACGTCTTCGCTGCCCGTTTGATGCCATAGAACGATCGCCCATGCAAGCCGTAAGACGGATGAGAGTGTATACTTGGTCGAAACTCCGATATCATGTTGCAGGCTATGTTCTAGGACTACCTTTTCTGTCGCCTGGTCAACGTTGATTGGGCTGGAAGCGCCAGCTGGGAAATGCTCGGCCTGGAGGCAAGAAAACTCCTGACGCCAAAAGTCCTCCGTGGTGGTATCATGTTCATGGAGGAGGTGTTGAACGAATGGACTGAATGGCTGCGTATGAAGCTTCTCCCTGGTGTATGCGCGCTCAACTTGTCCCAAGATCAGGTCAAGGGACCATTCATCAAACAAAGAATGATGGATATCTAACCGGAACGATTCTTTGTTGAAATAAAATTGGATAAGTGGGCCATGGTTAATATCAATTTCCTTGATTTCCTTCTCACCAGTGATATCCGTGACAGTATTCCATGGCATATCAGTTTTCATCACAACCTGAAAGACACCGTCCGGTGTCTGCACGACTCTGGTACGGAGGATTGGGTTGTGGAACCAAACCGCCTTCCATGCATTCTCAAATCTCTCCGCCTCAAGCGTATCGGCCAGCTGCCATGTGTAGCTACCAATATATGCATGAGGGTTTTGCGCCGTCAAGGCTATCAAGCCTTGCTGCATGTGCGTGCATGGGTACACATCCTCGACCTGGTCAATGCCCATACCGAGCTCTTCCGAAATCGCATCGAGTATAGAGTGGGAGTTGTTTATCAATGAAAAAGGGGTAGGTACTGCTGATGAGGAAAGCTTATTATCTTCGACTAGCACTGACGCCATGTCCGACAGGGTCGAAGATTTAAAAATATCAGACACTGATATAATAAATCCTTCCTGACGAAGGCTCGCAGCCATTTTGATTGCTGCAATTGAGTCACCGCCTCTCCGGAAAAAGCAGTCATGGCGCGTGATGCTTGCATTTTTAATGCCTAGAATCTTGGTCCAAGACTGGATAAGAACTCTCTCTTTGGGTGTGGTTGTGATTTGATTACCATTGAGTTGGTTGCATCAGGAGCCCCCTTCTGGTCATCGAAGAACACATATGCAGCTGTTTCCTGTAGACGGAGCCGATTGATTTTGCCCGATGTCGTGAGTGGCATGTGTTGCAGAAATATGAAATCCACTGGAATCATATATGCCGGTAAGCAATGCAGAAGGTATCGTTTCAGGTCTGCTTTCAGGGCCTCCATATCCTTCAACTGTTTTGACACTATTCGGGACGGACTATTTAACTCCCTAGTCGTATCAAGACCCAGAAAGGCGAGAAGCTTGGATCCATTTGTCTTACTCTTTGCAACGACGACGGCTGTATGAAGAAAGCCGGAGTTGGCGACTTCAGCACAGGCCGCTATGTGATGTTCAATTGCCGTCAGTTCTAGTCGCTGTCCGTTAACCTTCACTTGATGGTCCTTTCTTCCCAAAAAATGCAGCGACCCGTCAAGATTGTACCGCACCAAATCGCCTGTGTGGAAGGCCCGCTTCCCCGAATGAGTCTCGCCGAATTGTTCACGAATCCTTTTCTTCCACTCTGGATTTGACGTGAACTGCTTCGCCGTCCGCTTTTCGTCGCCCAGATAGCCACGGGCGACGGACGGGCCCTCAATGACCAATTCTCCCAGTGCGCCAATTGGTGCCAGTTTGTCGGGCTGGTCAATCGCAACGACCCATAATGTTGATCCGCATCCAAAACCTATATTACCTGGGGAAGAGCCTGCTTGAATGTCCGATGCCAACGCTGCTATTCCAGTACTCTCGCTCACCCCATAGGCATTGAAAAGCCGCACGTGGTTGGCCCATGCAGAGATGTGGCTATCAGTCATAGGCTCTCCTCCCAGGACCAATCCTTGAAGGCTCGGACATGAGGCAGGAGTCAGGGTACTGGCCATAGACGGCGTCAGGCTTGCTAAACTGACAGACTGGCGATTTATGAACCCAGAGAGGTCATTTATGCGATCACTCTCCGAAGGGATGCAGATGCATCCGCCAAAAATGAGAGTGATGAGCATATCGCGGTTGCTCACATCGAATGTATACGATGCAAATTGTAGCATCCTCGTTGCAGCTGTGACATGGAGTGCTTTACCATTGGCCATGGCCATGGAGTAAAAGGCGGAATGCTCGGTGATTATGCCTTTCGGCGTACCGGTGGTCCCAGAGGTGAAAGTTATGTACATGGCGTTTGAAGCGCTTGTTTCTGCTGTCAATTGTGGGGGTATTTCATCGATTGGGAATGAGTCCAGAAGCTCGCATGGTTCCCCTCCAAGTGGGACGATCTTGCCAGCGAAGGATTTGGCAAGAGTGCTCTGCCTTTGTGAGCATACCACAATTTCGGGACACAGCGATGAGCACAAGCTGCGGCTATACTCTATTGGATGGGAAGGATCGAGAAAGAAGTAAGCGCCGCCAGATTTCAAGACACCTAACAGTGCGATGACTGCCCATTTTGATTTCTCAAATACAAGGGGGACGAAAGTTTCTGGGCGGACGCCAAGGTGTTGAAGCCGTATTGCTAGAGCTGACGACAAGCTATCCAACTCTGCATAGGTAAGCTGCCCGTCCCAAGCTGACACAGCAATTGACTCTGGCTGTGCAGCACATCTTTGTGAGATTATGTGATGTATGCAATGCCCTGGGGATATTTCATCACCTGATGTGCTATTCCATTGCCATAGACGGTTGATGTCTGCATCACTACATATGTCGAGAACTTCGATCTGAGAGTCAACGTTGAAGACTATTTGCTCGGTGGCCCTAGCTACTGTTGCTGCAATCATTGTAGCCAAATCTGTTGAAATGGCCGATGGTTTGTGGTGAATCCCAACACTAGGGCATTGTGTATCTGTCCCTGACGAGAAATAAACGGTGAGATCAAACTACATTGAAGCGGTCAGTAATGCATGACTTGTGATAGTCTACCTCCAGACAAACAAATACCTCTCTGATGTCGTAAAGTCTTGCATCGTCGCATTGGTCTTCATGTCCTTCATTAACATAGACAGCCGAGTTGGCTCCCAGACGAGTTGTGCTATTTTCCTCATGTAACTCCACACGACGTATATTGAAGAGGCTCTGCACGGACTGCGCCGGCGAAACATGGGAGTAGCAATTTCTTCAAATATAACTGTCAGTTAAGACTCCAAGAGCTACTCTGAACTGCATACCTTTTCGAATCCAGACAGCTAAACCAGACATCGTTAGAGCCTGTATAAGCCCGAAGTGAAAGTGACCACGCAGCCTGAAGAAGTTCCAAGGGACTTCTGTGCTCTTCGTGCAGCCACCGGGCAAGAGTCTTGCTACTTAGACCTTTACATGCAACATTGACGGTAGCTATTTGCGTCTCGCTGTGTTGAGAGTCCTGTTGAGTCCCAGTGTGTGGGGAAAACAACGGTACTGTGGACAGCGCGGCCATGGAGAGTGACTTTTGAGATAAAAATTACTGGATTGAGCACTAATGAGAAAGATTGATCAAAACCCCCACAAGTGAGTCAACAGTCGGCATCAATTCCTGACCCCCATGGCTGTTTATTAGCCAACTCAGCCCTCTATTAAATGGGCACTCTGTATTGATTGTAACTCCCCGCATAAGCTCTGCATGCGTGGCTATTTCCCTACATGCACTACTTGCGTGCTCAACGGCATAACCGATTGCATCGCCTCCCATCATGTGGAGTGCATCCTGCGTTCTGAGACATACATACACCGGCATCCACTATAGGATTGACAGGGATTATTTCTTCACGGAACGCCTGACGCGGGGGGTACTCGCAATTCCCTGCAGTCTACTCGTAATTCATTACAATGCACGCCCATATGTAGCCAAGCCGGCGAGACTCCGAGATAGATGATGCTGTATTGCCTAGGTATGCCTAATTCTGTCTTCAAAATTTCAAAGTTTCATGAATTTCGTGACGCTCTGACGGTCAGAATGAAATTTTAACTTGATCTTGAAAGGAGTTTCAAGGTAATAACTTGAAATTAGGATCGCCTGGGGTTTAGATCTGTCGTATGGACTTACCTTCAGCGGATCGGAAAGAGAATTAAGACTTTTAGCGCTTGAGATCCTTTAGAAAATTAGAATTACTCTGGAGTAAATCATCTAGAACGTTGATACCAATTACCCGATTAGGAATTCCCTTTCTCTTACACGCTTTACGTAAACTTGAGGCTCTATGTAACCCTGAGTACATCCGATTTTTCACTGTTGTAATCTTGTCTCCCGACCATTAATTAGCACGGAACACGGACCGTCGAGGCGAACCCCGAGCCCCCATCGGGCCCTCCCGCTGCCCCCCGGGGTCGCCCAGCCGGCGGGTCGGGTACCCACATGTAATACCACCATTCGGTACGTTAGAGTACATTTCGACAATACTAGTGAATACAAGACCGATGCAGCTGATCTTCCAAGTGCAATTCAATGTGGTAATGTTGGCTTCCGTATGGACTAGTAAATGCAGGCATCAAATGCGAAAGGCTCAATCTGGCAGTGAACAAAGATCTGATTCTTGATTTAGCCGCCTAACCTAAGAAGGTCCTGGCCTACAGTCCCTGGTTACCTAATGAGATGGAGGGGTAGTAGGTAGGTGGTTCTCTAATTATCTATCTGACCTAAGCTGAGAGTAGTGGTAACTAGTAGTAATTTAGGCCGGACATATATGATAAAAGGCCAATTTGCCTGTTTCTGTCTCAATTTATCATTCCCCTTTCATCATAACGTCCATAACCATGTGTGGAATCAGTGCGTTTCTGAGCCACGCTAGCTCAAAGGAGCAGCAGACCAACGCCCAAGCCCAGCATGTCGTAGCGCAATTGGAGCACAGTCTGGATCTGGTTGGCCACCGTGGACCAGACGCTCGCGGGCGCTGGTTTAGTGACGATCACCAAGTGGGTAGGTTCTCCTTGTTCCCATCTTACCTGGACGAATACTCAACCTCTCCACAACAGGCCTTGGCCATGTCCGATTGTCCATCATCGACCTCAGTCCCAGTGGAAACCAGCCATTCCACGACAAAGAAAACAACATTCATGCCGTTGTGAATGGAGAGCTATATGACCATGAGTACTATCGGGCGCAGCTGGCCAGCGAATTCGAGTTTGCGGGGACCAGTGACTGCGAAATTGTCATTGCCTTGTATAAGCATTATGGGCTCTCGTTTTTGTCTCATTTGAGGGGCGAGTTTGCTTTCGTGCTCTGGGATGCCAGTCGCCAGTTGCTTGTCGCTGCCAGAGACCGTTATGGAATCAAATCACTCTACTATACAGTGGCCGACGGCAAGTTGTTAGTCGCGACGGAGATCAAGTCTTTCCTGGCTTTTGGCTTGCAGCCGGAATGGTGTGTTCGGACACTGCGGGACCAGAGCTGGAGGGTTGAGTCGCGCACGTTCTTTAAGGGTGTACATAGGGTGGGTTTATGTCTCTCGTGTATCAGCGAAATGTTGGACAGCTCTTTAAGACGTTATAGGTTCTCCCGGGCCACTATCTGGTCTGTCGACCGAATGAGAAGGAAGAACAGAAGTCATACTGGGATCTTGAGTATCCGGATAAAGTAAGAAGTCTCGATCCCTTTTCAAGGAGGTGATGATTAATGCTCCTTAGTTTTCCCATGACATGCGCTCGGAAGAGGAAATCGTGGAAGGGGTAAGGGAGCGTCTGCGGGAGGCTGTGAGAATCCGACTGAAAGCGGATGTGCCAGTGGCTGTCTACCTCAGCGGGGGAATAGATTCATCATCCGTTGCTGGGATGGTGGCCGATCTCATGAGACAGGGGACGAAGTTAGGTAGCGAGCAGAACTCGGTTCCGTCGAACATGAAATGCTTCACTGTTCAGTTCGATGAGGATAGCGGTGCAGATGAGTCGGGTATATTCCCCCCCATCACCGCGCAGGACAACATGCATTTCTTGATTACTGACAGTTCCCAGCAATTGCTCAGCGCACAGCGGACTGGCTGGGCGTCGATATCCAGTTTGTTAAGATGGATGAAGAGGCTCTCGTATCACGCTTCGAGGACGCTGTGTGGCACAGTGAAATCCCCCTCCCCGACCTCAACGGAATGGGTCGGTTGGCTCTGGCAGAAGCAGTACACGCTCAGGGAATAAAGGTTGTGGTTACTGGTGAGTGATCCACGGAAGCGTAGTTGAACGTGACGCCTCTAATATTGCTGCAGGAGAGGGCTCCGATGAGCATTTTGCGGGCTACGATGCGTTCCGGGCCGATTCCCTCAGCGAGCCCGACCATTCATGGCCGGCGCTGCAGATCGCCGAACCCGACCGCGAGGAAGCCCTACGGACCGCCAAAGAACAAGTTAGATACGGTATTTTCGGCGACTACAGCGCGACGGTTCCAAGTGCCACACAGCGCATGCTCAACCACAGCCACGTGACCAGCTCCATCGCAAGAGTGGGCAGTCTGCCATTCGCAGAGTGGACGAATTCGTACGGGGATAATATACCGGAGACGAGTCTGATCGAGGGCGTCAATGGGCATGTCCGCGACAACATAGCCAAGCGGTGGCACCCTCTTCACACCGCTCAATACATATTCACGAAGTCCTTCATGCCTCATTTCATCCTGCGGTATAACGGCGATAATATTGACATGGTCAATCAAGTCGAAAGCCGTTGTCCCTTCCTTGATCATCACTTGACAGAATATGTCAACAATGTGCCACCGAGCCTCAAGATGAAGTACAATGCAAAGGAGAAATCCTTCCGTGAGAAGCATATTCTTCGAGAAGCGGTACGGCCTTATGTCACGGATGAGGTGTACAATATGAGCAAAAAGGCCTATATGGGTCCAAGAAAGTTCTGGCCGGGTGGACCGTTGCACCGAAAGATCACGCAGCTGGTCACAAAGGAAAACGTGGAAAGCCTGGGTTTTGTAGACTGGAATGCTACAGAAGAAGCTGTGGAAAACGCCTTTCACAAGCAGGAACCCTTGGCGCTCCGTCGCGCGATTACCGTGGCCCAGTTTATTATTCTAGGGCAGCGCTTCGGAGTCAGGCCAACTGGGAGCCTGCCGAACTGAAGGTAAATATATGTGCAGCTCTTTGTTCGATAGATTTGTTGGTTTAACTAGCAAAATAATACATCTTAAGGCTGAGCTTGCCTATTCTTATTAAAAATACTGGATACTATATTTCAACGGAAGGAAAATAAACCGGGTGACGACTGGGCTTATTGATCAGGATGGCGTAAGTAAATACCCTCTACAAGGGAGGAAGGTACAGACAATTCAAGACCAACTTCGTGATTTATTAGATACACAGAGAGGAAGAGTAGTATACCGGAAAGCAAATCTCCAGAGTAGCACGTCGTTCGGTTTTTACTGGCTTCAGAGTGATCGCTCGAATATGTAAACTCCAATCTTCCTCGCTGGTCTACTCTGTGTCCTTGTGTCATGTCTTCAGTCAATGAGGGTTTTTGTTAATTCAACGCTTCATCCAACATGCCCATCTAACTACATGGCACTCAATATAGACCAAAACAGACAACCAGGTTTAATTTTGAGATCCTTTACCAAACCGCTGTACATCTGACTTCAATACTTTCCCGAGCTTCAGAATGTATATCCTGACCGTCCAACTCGAAGGCACTATGGATGGCTCCCCCGACTCCCAAATTAGACCTCTTATTGGCCCCTTCCTGTGGTGCTCTTGCATGCGCCTCCATCTCGTTGTCAAAAAGTTGAATTATCAAGACATCAGAAGGCTGTTGCTCTGAAATGAAGTGCCAGCCATGCGCCTTTTGCTCTTTATCCCGTGGCGCATAGGCCAGATAGCCCTGCGTTTGGTAAGTTCCATTATCCGCGTTGGATGAAACATCTTGGCCATTAGGCCCAATAATCCGCGACAGATGAGCTGGAATCTGCATATCCAAGGGCTCCAACTGGTCCGCCGGCACGTAATCCGATTCAGGAAAAGAAACACAGGAAGCCAAAGCCAGGGGGTCGCGATGGACGGTTTTCAAGGGCCGCCAAATAGAGAAAAGCGCGAATCTAGGCACCCCCTCATCGCCGCCCTCCTTCCCTGCATAGAAGTCCTTGAGGTCATCCCATTGCACGCCAGATTCCAGCAACCGGTTCTCCGCTTCGATTACCCGCTCGGCCACGGACGTCACCTCGCGATGGTACTTGCGAATGTGGAGCCTGGCACCCTTTGGCGTTAGGTCGAGATGCACTTTCGGGGCAGGGCAGATAGGATCTGTCCTTGAGTTGCCGACAATTGGGGGGAATAGTTCCGCTTCGGGATTGTTGGTTAGGGTTTGTCCGTTTTCTTCTGGGTGTGCTGCCGCTACTGCTGCATCGCTTTCTTTGTATACTTCGTTGCGTAGCACTGCGGCAGATATTACCACCTTCTTACATCCCGTAACCTTCTTAACCAGTTCTTGTACTTCGGGGAAGTAGATCTCACGCAG